GGCCGGGAGATGGCTCAGTCGAATAAGCGCTTCCTTGGCAAGCACAAGGGTCTGAGTTCAATCCCCTGTTCCACCAAAAAAAAAAAAGCCCTCAGAGTTAGTTGAACCAAATGGAGTGAAAAACATGTCGGTCAGAGTGCTGAATTGTGTATTCTCTCTCTGCTTTAGAGCCAGACAAAATACAAAATCTTCACTGCCGCCCTCAGAACTCAACAGCCATTGCTTGTTCTTGGATCCCTCCTGACTCCGACTTTGATGGGTATAGCATTGAATGCCGCAAAATGGATACCCAAGAAATTGAGTTTTCCAGAAAGCTGGAGAAAGAGAAATCTTTGCTCAACATCATGATGCTGGTGCCCCATAAGCGGTACCTGGTATCCATCAAGGTGCAGTCGGCCGGGGTGACCAGCGAGGTGGTTGAAGACAGCACCATCACAATGATAGATCGTAAGTGTCTCTGCAGGTGATCCGGGGTCTCCTGCCCCACAGGGCAAGGGCTCTGCGCCTTCCCCTCACCCATCTGTCTGCACTGGTCATTTGCACACAGTTCACTTGTACATAAGCTTGAATCATTGTCACTTGAAGAAGAGGACCCAAAAGGCCCCAGAAAATGGAAACATTTTTATGAGTAAAGTACACTGACAATAAACAAGTTAAATGATTTTAAAGTACCTGAATGAGTTAGTATTTAAACACATCACTTTGCCTGTTATAGTTAGAGTTATAATGGAGCTTTTAAGCAATTTGAGGCTGCTACTTCAGGAAATCCTGCCGAAGAGCTGCCTCTTCATTATGTCTAAGGTGCCTCTGGGAAATCGCAGTCTCTGTTTGCTTCCCTTCAAAGGAGGGGAGAATTTCTTGAGCACAGACTTTAAACACATACTCTTCCTCCCTCTCTCTCTCTCTCTCTCTCTCTCTCTCTCTCTCTCACACACACACACACACACACACACACACACACACAGGGTCTGGGGTGAGTGAAGACCTTTGTTCTACTACTTGATTGGGAGGTAAAAGCAGTGCGGTGACCCCTGCTGCTTCCTTTGCCCCTTCTTTTCCAGGCCCGCCCCCTCCACCCCCGCATATACGTGTGAATGAAAAAGATGTGCTCATTAGCAAATCTTCCATCAACTTTACTGTCAACTGCAGCTGGTTCAGTGACACCAACGGAGCTGTGAAATACTTCACAGTGGTGGTGAGAGAGGCTGATGGTAAGTTGGGGCGCGTTCCTGAGCTCTCCTTAGTACCCAGAGCTGACTTCTAGAGGGCTGCGTGGGGGTTCCTCCTGTGACAAGTTCTTAAGAGCGCTGACTTTAATTTTCGTACCATTTAGCTCTATGTCTGTTGGATACAGGAAGACGTAGCAAAAAACTGCTCTGAGTCTCTTTTAGCAGTCAAGCCTGTTATCCTTGGGGTTTAATGAATAAATGCTGGAAAAGGGAAGAAGCAGCAGCTATAACAATAATAACAACAAAAACAATAGCCATTCCTTACTGAGGTCTGACTATTTGAAAGGCATTGTTGGAAGTGATCTGCATGTCCTGATCCGTAAAATCCTTTTCATTAGTCGTCAGTCTTACACCCACTCCAGGACCTTCTGTGTACCAGGAAAGCACCGCCCCTAAGCTACAAGCCCAGCCTACTACTCATAAATGGTCTTCACTGTGTTTTGATTCTACCATTAAACAGCAGTATGTCTTGATTCTCCTCACCCCTCTGAGACTCAAACACCTAGACAGACTGCACACTCCCAGACCACCCACCTATTCACAAAACTAGCCAAAAGCTTACCAGAGGGACACTTCATGAAGAACGACATTTCTGCCCTCCCTAGTAAACTTTGCATAGTATATTTCATTCTCTAGTTTCCTAAATTACTTAGTGGCTACTTAATTCCTATTGGTTAGACAAATACTAAGCAATAGCTGTGCAACATTCCATACAACCATTGAGTGTGATTTTTTTAGAGATTATTGCAGATCCATAGAGTATTTGTCAAATGACTGTAGGAGTATTGTGTTGGAGCTGTGTATGTCTCCATATGCATTTGCCACAGGAGCCTTACATGTTAATTCTCCAAAACAGATGCTTGTTCCTGAAATGACAATATATTTTACCTTCTTTATATCTAAAAAAGTTATTTAAGATGCCACACCTGAATTTCTTAAGCATCCCTGACAATTTTGACTGATACATGTCCAAAGTAGAAACTTTAAACCTAATAAACAGTGGGGCAATTTTCCAGGCTAATGTTTTAGTCTCATCTGAGTATCTAATGGTCCATGCACTTTACATTTTATTTAACTGTGCCAAATCTGGTTATGCAATTACCAATTAAGTAATTTCAAGGTACCTATGTTTCCTTATACCTCATCACTGAAGATAAATTCATAAACGATGGGAACATTAATTTTAATTATGCAGGAAGATAATGTTTTACTACATGAGTATAAGGCAGTGAAAGAAGGAAGTCTCATTCCTGAGGAGGCTGTGGGTGTGTACTGTGGCCCCTGGTGATCATCTCCTATAAATGGCGAGTATAGGATGCCCGCTCATCCCGAGGTAACCCTTCTTGTCAACTACTGCCAACAAAATAATATTTTAATTTCCAGAAATACAAATGTTTAACAGAAGAACCAATCAAATATAGGACATTCTCTGTCATCCGGGTCTTAGATTTGCTTGTCAGAAGGGAGCTCTGCCAGCTAGAGGCTGTGGAAGTAGGGATATGTGGGAGGAGAATCAGAGAATCTTCAAAAGATGTCTTTAGGTTTTAGGCAGGGGTACAGGAGAGCAGGACCAACGTAAAGAAAATCTCATATAAACATTTCTGTCTGGGAAGTTTCTAAAATGGGAGTTCGGAATGTAATGTTCCAAGGACCTTAGTTCTCGAAGTTAATCAGTTCCTTCTTCCTTACTCCACAATCTGCATCCTCAGACAGGGCATAAGTAAAAGACTGATAAACTAGAAAAATAATATTTTTAAGATCCTCTCATTGTGAGCAATTTTTATTAAGTAAGAGTCCAGGATGCTTGATGAACCCTCCAGCCTCACTCCCTGAAGTTTGTTATAAATGGTATCTGATCTCCATAATATTTATCTTCCTAATTATGCTTGTCTCTAACCTAAATCAAAACGAATTTCTAGTGCCAAAACACACAGCGGGCTGGGTAGACAAGGGAAGAGTTCTGGGAAGTGTGCAGAGTGAGCCAGGATTGAACTGTACTTGAGATAACAAAGAGCCACACACAGCGATTGTCAGGCCAGGCACGGCATGTGGATCCCACATTGTGGAACAGCTGCTGTGACCTGGGTCGCAATTTCCCTTATCTCTTCCCTACCTCCCAGGTCAAGGGGACTTCCTTATTAGCTCAACTATAGTGGCTGTTGGCTAGGTGGAGAGCTTATTGAGTGAGTAAACAGTGCTCCAGCCTGCTAGTGCTCTGAGATACGTTATCATCTGATGCAATGAGATATCCCTATTTTATTTCCTAAAATATGAATATATACATGTGCGTGTATAACACTTATTTTAGAAAAGGTAAATTTAAATTAATTTCACAGCATCCTTGTAGATCACAGAATCTGGCTTTTGGGGTGGTGAGGGAGGCAGTCTCAGGATCCTAGCTATTGACCCCGCAGTCACTCTTGTGCTTAATTCTGGCTTTTCCCCTTCAGGCAATGACGAGCTGAAGCCAGAGCCACAACACCCGCTCCCTTCCTACCTGGAATATAGGCACAATGCCTCCATTCGAGTGTACCAGACCAATTACTTTGCCAGCAAATGTGCCGAAAGTCCTGACAGCACTTCCAAGAGTTTTAACATTAAGCTTGGGGCAGAGATGGACAGCCTCGGTGGAAAATGTGACCCCAGTCTGCAAACATTCTGTGACGGACCCCTGAAGCCACACACTGCCTACAGGTTAGATACGTTACTGCCATTTTACTGCAATAGACATGGTGGGTTACTCGTGCCCAGCTGTCTGAACAGTCTGCTGCCTATGAGTTCCTATAAACTAATACCTATGCTGTGAGCGTACATCATCCTGGGTAATCTGTACAAATTGGGTTTCTGCCTCCATGCACAGGTAGTGTTTAAAGAGGGCTCTTGAGGATGAAAGTATTCTGCTTTCCAGTGTTCTTAAAAAGAAAAGGCTGCTGAATGAATGTGGACACACTTCCCTGCCCCTGGGATGGCAGACCCAAGGGGAAGCTGCTGGGCCTCGGCTTCAGGAAGCACCGCTACAGCCAACAGGCCCTTCCAGCCCTAGAAACGAGTGATCTGTTTTCTGCACCATTTCCAGAAAGCAAGAGGAAGCTGATGTATGTTTCATTCCAACCAGAGTCCCCACAAGAAAGGAAGACTGGGCTACTGCCTTGGTTACAGGCATCTAAGTTTATGCAGAAGATATGCTTTCGCTCTTGGGGGTTGGTACCCAGCCAATGTGGTAGCCAGTCATGTTCTTCAGGGCCAGTGTCCATTCTGGTGGGCCAGTGCCAAAGGCATACTCACTCAGTAGATAAAACCCTTCTGTCAGTTTCACAAATAGACCCCAACATAGCACCACATTTGAGAGAATTTTTAGCCCCTCCCTTACATAAACAAAGGCAGCCCATTTCCCTACAAAAAAGGACTCACTTTGTGGGAGAACTCCGCACACCTACCTCTGCGTGGGACTCACCACAAGCTTGCTGTTAGCTCCCAGGCGAGGTAGCACCTCCAGAGTGAATATACACAAGTTTATTAGGATATTTACTTCAGGAAGAGAACATATGGCCAGAGAAATAGCTCAGTAGAATAAGCGCTTTCCTGGCAAGTGCAAGGGCATGAGTTCAATCCCCAGTTCCGCCAAGAAAATTTAAAAAAAGAAAGAAGAGAACATATGAGGCAATTTGAAAAAGAGATTTCAAAGAAAGAAGGATGTATGAGACATCAGGAAAGAAACCCTTCTTATCAGAAAATGGGATTCCTCAGTTCCTACAGAAATCAAGAGAAGCTCACAACCCTCACTATTGGAGCTCAAGAATCCTGCGCGGCTGGGCAAGTTGGCACACGCCTATAATCCAGCAGTGGAAGGCTGAAGCAGGAGGATCACCAGGCATTCCAGACTAGCCTGGGCTACATAGTGAGTTCAAAGCCAACCTGAACTACATAATGAGACCCTGTCTAAAAAAAACAAAAATAGTAAATCTGAGCAAAAGTCTACCAAGAATCACTTCTTCACTTTTAGAGGTAGAAGATTGAGGTTTTCTTGCTCATTTGCATGTATACAGTGGAAAGATGACACTAGTCCATTTTTCTCAGAGGAGATTACTTTGCAAAGCCTCAGAGCAGGACTGACAATGCGCATTAATGGTGAAGCCTGTCATTTGATGTGTGTTTTCCCAGCCGGACCTAGGCACTCGCCGTGCACCACGCCATAACTCCTGTACTTGGTGAGATGTGGCGGCAGCAAAGCTAATACAGATTCCTTTTCCTTTCTTCACAAGTTCACAAAGAAGTTTGTTCTTAGCAACCTCAGCACACGGGCTTTTTGTTCCTTATTAAGACTGGAAGGCCACATTTAACTAAAGAAAACACTTCCTAGCTTCTCCTTGGTACCCCTGTGCTGGCAGTGCTATCCCTCTTGTACCTCGGGGCCATTGGTGAATAAAACAAGGGTCACTTGACCACACGCACTGCGATTCCACAGTGATCAGTCTCGTGACAAGAGGGCTATTAGTGGCTAACAGGTGGGCAAACATGCACAGCAGGGAGATGCTGGACAAATGGATCATTTCCGTCCTCCGTGGGGCTGAAAGTGACAGTGTGAGATTTTGTCACGCTGCTCAGAACAGCACAGAATTTAAAACAGCTGAATTGTTTATTTCTGGTGTTTTCCATTTGGTATTTTTAGAATGATGTTGACTATGAGTAACTGAAATAGCAAAAAGTGACCCTATGCTGAAGGGAGGGAAAACGGAACTGCATTTCACAGAGAAGAAAAGGGATAGGCTACATACAACTTATTTCTGGGTCAGATCCTGCCAGCCCCATGGCACACATCCTTTCTTGTCTGCGGTAGCTATGAGGGCTCTAGAAGTGTCTCAGTATCTGGGTTCCAGCCCACTACTTCCTAGCCATGTCACTTGGTAAGCAGAAATCCAGTGGTCTAATCTTTGCTTCCTTCTTCAGATCATCACAGGGCTGTCTGGAGGGGTGAAGTATAAGACAGGCCACGTCGTGTTGTGTCCCTTCCAGCTGAAGGGCTTCTCAAGGTTGCTGTTCACTTACAGCAGCTCAGCTCCTACCATCTGTGTCAGCCCGCCCTTCCCTCTCGCCAGGTCCTGCTCCTGAGATCCCCTCGATGCCACCTAGCCATCTTCTACCCCAGCCTTTTCCATCTTCTTTGCACTTTCTTTCAGTCTCTCCTGACTGCTCTGGCTGGCTCTACTCCTGTGCTTTTTAACACTTGAACTGATATCTGCCTTGTTCACCACACTGAGAGAACTCACAGTCTAAGAGGAGCACCAGGCTTGTGACAGGACAGAGGAAAATGTGTCAAGAATGTGGTGCAAAAGAGGGGATCATGAAATGTTGATGAATAGAGGAAGGAGTGAGCCAAGACACTCTGAGAAAGTTATACATTCTTGCCATAACCAGCCCATGACATACATGCTTGTTTTCTAAAACAAGTATGTGTATCATGTTTCTGAAATATAGGTTTGGTTGCACATGTTAAGGGCATGCTGGCAGATAAGACTTGGTAAAGAAGGCCCAGCCTTTCAAACCACAGCACGTGAGACAGCCACATCCTAAGAAGCCTTCTGTGTAGTGGACAAGCCTTGGTGCAGCCAGACTAACTCAGCTTGTCCCAGATGGTCATCACCACGGTGACTCCAGACAGCCAGGGTTTTTTTACTAAGGGAATAATTAAATAAATAGGGAATAATTCAAAGAAGAGAAATATTGGGAATGGAACAAATGGCAAATACCAGGTCTAGGTGATATGCAAGTTTATTTTGTCGATGGTGGCAGTATGTTCCCATTCGTTGTTGGGTTCCCATTGTCTGTGTGTGTCGTTAGCATTGTTTCATGTGGAAATGCAAATGGGAGATCATGTAGGTGAGATGCAGTTTGGAGGTTAGGAAAATGCTGACTTGGCTTTGTTTTTTTTTTATTTTTTTTATTTTTTGCGGAACCGGGGATTGAACTCAGGTCCCTGCGCTTGCCAGGGAAGCGCTTATTCCACTGAGCCATCTCCCCAGCCCTTGGCTTTGTTTTTATCCTACATAGAATAACAAGGAAGCTGCAGTAAGTTGGTCGGCTTCCTTGAGTCATTTTTCCTCCAGTGAAGAGAAACTGAACCTCTTGGTCTCTAACTTTCTGCAATAGAATTCTAACTCTCACACATCTAAAGTTGAAATATTTACTATCACATACCAATTCCTGGACTTCTCCTTTAATACATAGACTCCTTATTGTCTGTCCTTTGAAGACACTTCCCAATCCACTTCCAGGATCTTTTAGAAATGCATACTGGAGAGGTGGTTGACCCACATCTGGAACCAGTGACGTTCATTTTCCTGGATCACAATTGGGCCTGTGCATGGGCCAGAGCAAGGGGGTGAGAAGGTCAGAACCATGTGTCCTGGTTCAGCACTGCTCCAGCATTGTCACAGCATATGCCCAGATATTCTGGGATTAAATAAGTTTTTTTTTAATAATAAAAAAAGCTTTCCATTGTGTTGACAGAATTACATTAACATTAGCAAAAATTGTCTTACATAAGCCAAGCTTAATACTCTGTTCGTGAACCTGTCTTCAAGGTAGATGGAAACCAAGCAGTAACCCCAGTTTTAGGGTAGGAGTGCCCTCGTCTAGTCTCACTGAGAGCTCATGCTCCTTCAGCCTCTGAGTAGACTCACCCTATTTACTGGGAGTTGCTACCTATAAGCAGCCCAGGTGCTAGATGTTAGAGAACAGATATGTGCTCCTAAACTCCTCCTGTCTATGACTTCAGCCTAGCTCTACCCTCCAGAAGAAAAACAATGTCATCTATTTCCTCTTCTATACCGTGACTTTCCTCCTTAAATCTGAAATCAACTATAAGCATTCTTCTAAGTCTTCTCTGTCATCCTCCTCATTGCTCACCTCAGCTGATTCTGAGTCATCCTTAAACTGTGCACCAAAGAGTGAGCTTGCGCCCCAACTGGCCTGATCCATGCCAAGAACACGAGGCATACATCCTACGATGGGATCAGAGACTGTTCATGCCAGCGGCGGTTATAGATCTGATGTAGCACTTGTGTGTCACTTGCTTAGTGACTTTAGGACCAGCTGTTCATCATGTACTGTCCAACCTGGACAGATGGGCAGCAACTTCAGCAACTCTGGTGTGCCCCATCATCCTTCCCCTGTCTAGCTCCGGTTTTCACCAGAGTCTTGCATCTGAAGTTCCCGCTCCCAGGACTGTGAGCCTGCTTCCTCCCTCCCTTTCCTGACTTCTGTGCATTTGTCTTCTTATGAGCGAGACTTTCACTGACCATGCTGAATAAAGCAGTTTCACACAGTTGGCGCATCGCTTTCTTCTTTTCATGCTGCTCTTTTCTTTTTCATAGAAAAAGACACCAGTGTCTGACATATATTAATGGATTTTTTGGTCTGACTTCCTCCATAGGAATGGTGACCTCTCGAGTGGGAGGGACTTTATTTTGTTCCTTGTGGTATCTCCAGCCCCCAAAATTAGGACTGGCACACAGCAGAAGTTCAATAAATATTTGATGAGTAAACCAGTGAAAGATTGCATTGCATAATTCATATCCCACCGTGCATGCAAAGTTACCAGCGATCCACCCCTCTTCTCCTCATACACATTTACACTGTGTTCATTCACTAATTTGCACTTATATGTCTGTTGTTGTTGTTGTTGTTGTTGTTGTTGTTTTTCAGAATCAGCATCCGGGCATTTACTCAGTTGTTTGATGAGGACCTGAAAGAGTTCACAAAGCCCCTCTATTCAGACACGTTTTTCTCGTTGCCTATCACCACAGAGTCAGGTAAGTCTAACCTTTCTAGCCACCCTACTTGGGCAATGATAGGGAAAACATTTCTTTTCATTTGGAACCTAATCTTTATGTGACTGTGGATTTATGTGGATTAGAGAGATTGCACTATTTTTGCAGAATGGACTGGAAGGCGATTAATCTGGAAAATAAGATGAGGTACAAATTTTTTTTCTATTAAAAATGAATTTTGTCCAATCCTCTGCACTCTAAAACAAAACAAGAAAAACAAAAAACAAAAGCTGAAATTTTAAAAAATGGGTTAAAGTCATCAAAACCATGTTCTTGTACAGTCAAAATGATATAAAAGTTTTCAGTGAGAAATTGGAGTACATATGTGTGTGTACAACTGGTTGGCTGTATTCACAGGTCAAAACTTTGAATCAAAAACAGTTGAGAGAAAAAAATATGTCACTACTAACCATGTAGATTCCTTCATGTCATTATTCTCCTAATAGAATAGTATAAGAGCTAATGACATAGGATTTGCGTGTTGTAGGTATTGTATGAAACCTAGAAATGTCTTCAAGTATATGAAGGGTATACATAGGCTATATGCAAATACTATGTCATTTTACATAGCAATTGAGCATCTATGCATCTGGGGATATAAGGGACACCCTCAAATCCGTGCCCCTCAGATACTGAGGGGTAACTGTACACAGAAGAGAAGCCTACCGCCACCACCTCCCCCCGCCACACAGCACTAATGGTGAATATCCCAAATAGTAGGGCTAAGGCAGTTTCCCTTTCTTTTACTCACGTTTGCTTCCCCGCTAAGTGCAAGCTAGGGGGCTGTGAGGTAGCCCAGTGACAGCACTTGCGTGGCATGCATCAAGTCCCTGTATGCAAACCAATACTAATTTTTTTTTCAAATTAAAATGTTACTTTAAAAGACTTTACAGAAATTCATGAAGGAAACTTCTATAGTGTGTTAGAGGGAAAGCCCGAGGAATAGCAACAGCAAATATTTGCTTATCGCCTTCTCTGTGGAGCTACAGTTGTAAGCATCGTCCATAGGATAAATGATCACACCATCATTTCAACCTTTTGAGGGAGATGCTGTTATCATTCCCACTTTTAAGAATGAGGAGCTGAGGCACCAAGTGCTTGAGCAGTTGGCCAAGCTTATGGAGTGGGTTGTGCCATTGTCCACCTGGGCCCATGGCCTTTGAGCTGTACTGCTCGGATGTGTCTGTCCTGCCAAGAATAGCACATCGTCATCACCTTGCTCCTTGACACTACTGCCTGTCACATGCTATGCTGGCTCCCTTGGCCTGGGGGAGTTCTTTAGAGCTGAGCCAGCCTCTCCTGCTGCATGACAGCATGTGGCTCAGCCTCACAAGGACCCCTAGCTACTTATGCCAAATATGGGGATAAGCTCGCACTTCTCGGGCCAGAAAGGGATCAGAGCCCAGTGAAGGGGATTTAGATGTATTTGCCTATAATTCATGATAAGTAGGGACTTTGTGAACACAGTTCTTCTCTAGTTGAAATACTGTTATACAACAAAAATTGTATTTAGTCCAGTAAAGGGATACCTAAAACCTAAGAGATGCATTCAAACAGAATACTGAACACATCAAAACAAAGATGACTATGTTGATTTGATGAATGTGGAAAAGCAACATGCAATAAAGAAATCCAAGATTTTTAGGGTTTTTATTTTTGTTTTTGGGTTTTTTTGTTTGTTTGTTTGTTTGTTTTTTGTCTTTTTGAGATATGGTCTCACTTTGCAGTTCAGGCTGGCCTTGAACTCACTTTGTAGTCCAGGCTAGTCTTAAACACAATGATCCTCCTGCCTCAGCCTCCCAAGTGCTGGGATCATAGGTGTACACCACCACACTCAGCTTAAACCCAAGGTTTTTTGTTTTAATGTATTTGGTACAGAGTCTACACGGTGCTCAGGGTCTCACTACTAGATCAGACTCATAGTGATTCTCCTGTGTTCAACCTCCCAAGCGCTGGGATTACAGGCACCGTGCCACCACGCCCAGTCTCAATCACCTTCTCAGTGCACTCTGGGGACAGGGCTGGCACAGCAAGACAGGGATCAAACCCCCACTGCTGCACTCTGCCTAAGCAGGTGCTTTAGTCCACTGAGCTATCTGTCCAGCCCCCCAAGTTTTTAAAAGGAAAAGCTTCAAAAATGCACTATTTCATCAAGTTAGTATGAGAGGTAAAAGGGTAACACTTTTAAAAGAAAACACAGAAGTAAATCTTCATGAGCTAGAGTTATGAAATGGTTTCTTTTATATTCATATAATAAAATGCATGATTATTTTCACTTACAACCTAGAAATTACTAAACAAAGAAACACAGCAATATTTATCAGAGTTGGTGATAGCTCTCACAGACAATACACACAGCCTTGAAAAACATAAGCCCTGTGGTATAACCAAACTAGCAGTTTAAATATTACGGCTTCGAATTAGTCATACACAAACACATAGTTACTGAAGGCCTCGAACCTGTGCACCTCATATGTGTAGTAACATTGAAGAAGAGCTTGGGTTTCTTCAATGTAACACCAAAAAAACAAGCAACAACAGAAAAAATACAAGGCCAGTGAGATAGCTCAGTAGAATAAACACTTGCCTGGCAAGCTCAAGGTCCTGAGTTCAATCCCCAATACCACAAAAATAAAAGAAAAAACACAACTAAGAGTTAATCAGAATTCAAAATCACTCCTCCATGATACCTTGTCTAAACAATCTTAGCTATAATCTCATACTCTGCTTAAGAAATATGAAGACATATACAAAGTATCAACTGTCATAACTGTCCCACTAACCTGTTTCATTGTTTATCTTTTTTTCTCTTTAAAATAAAAAAGTTTGACATCCAAGGGTACCATTCTGTAAGTGAAAAGACAAGCCACAGAAAGGAAGAAAGTACTTGCAAATCATATCCAGTATTTGGTCAGGGTTGCATACCCAGAACATAAAAAATAATCCTTCCCTTACAATTCAATAATAAAAAGACAAATGACACAATTTTAAATTGTGCAAAAGATCTGAATAAACATTTCTCGAAGAGGTTCCAGTGGCCAATAAGCATCTGGAAAGATGTCAGCCACCAGTCGTCGTTAGGAAGATGCAAATCAAAGCCACAATAATGTATCACTTTACAATCATGGGAATGACTATAAGCCAACATAAGAAGTGTTAATGAGGACATGGAGAAACTCGAACCCTCATCAGTTGTTTGTGGAAATGGAAAATGATGTATACCCGATTTGCAGTATCTCTTTTGATTTCCCCAAAACATTGAATATAGAGTTACCATATATTCCAGCAATAATCCTACATGAAGTGAAAATATGTCCACACAGTAATTCACACTGGATGTCGACAGCAGGATCACTCATGGTAGACAGAAATGGAGGCATCTCAGATATCCACTAGTGAAAATGTGGATAAGCAAAGAGATATATATCCATACCATAAGATACTATTCAGTCATTGAAGGGGATGAAATATGGACATATGGCCTTTGGATGCTAAGTAAAAGAAGCCAGTGCACAGAACTGTGTGTCTGTGATTCAGTTTATCTGAAACATCCAGCACAAGCAATTCTATGAACAGTGAAAGCAGATTACAGGAGTTGGGAGGGAGGAGGGGGAATGGGGAGTTGCTTTAACAGATCTGAGTTTTTCTTTGGGGGATGATAAATGTTATAAATTTATTGTGTTTATGTTTGCAAAGCTCCGTGACTCAATTAAAACACCTATTGCATTATTTAAATGGGTGAGTTGAAGAATTGAACAACATGTGAATTATATTTCTTTATTTTTAATTTTTATTAGTTCATATTTACAGAGTTTAACATTTATCACAGAGGACTGGCCAAGAATTACATTTCAATAAAACTATTTTTTTTTATTTATTTGGGGGAGGACACAAGTTATTGAACTCAGCACCTCACACTTGCCAGGCAGATAGTGCACCATTATGCTAAATCTGCAGCCCGATAAAACTATTTTTAAAAATAGGCGAGCCAGGCATGGTATTATATTGCTGTAGTCCCAGCTACTAAGGAGGCTGAGGCAGGACAATTTTTGAATGTCAGGGTTCAAGACCAGCTTGGGCAATGTAATGAGACAGTCTCAAAAAAAGAGATTTTTAAAAAGGTTACTGTGGGCTGCATGTAGAACTCAGGAGGCTGAGACAAGGTCACTGCTAGTTCCAGGCCAGCCAGGGCCACAAAGTGAGTTCAAGTCCAGCCTGAATTGCATAGTGAAATTCAGTCTCAAAAAGACCAAAAAAAAAAAAAAAGGCTACACTCCTGTAATCCCAGAACTAGGGAGGCTGACACGGGAGGACCACTATAAGTTTGAACCGTACAGCGAGACTCTATCAAATAAATAAATAAGTCTACTGTGGCTACCGTTACTGTCACTTTTTCATAAATTCCCAGTGGCAAGGTCATACCAGATCATGACAATGAGCTTTTGTTCATGTAACTCTCAGCAGTTCACTGCCTTTGCTAGAGTTCCAGGTGCTGTGTACCTTGTTTCATATAAATGAAACAGTACTCTCATTTTGGGGACAAATTTCTTAGGGCTTCTGTCATAGGTTCCCCAACTTTCCACACCAGCACAAAGTCTGAAATTCCCTCAGTAGCCATATACGATTAATTTAAAACATCAGTGCCTTTTTTTACCGTGTGGCCAGCTGCGCTCACAGGGTGGCAGCCGGGAGTCCATCCTCTCAGCTGCGTATTCATGGCCTGCAGACAGTCCGCACCTGAGGGTGGGTGCTGCTTGCATTGTGATCCGGGTAACAGTACTTGGGGATGATCCAGCTTTCGAAGCTCTCTTACCCGCTTGCTGCCACTGACTTTCTCACCTGCATCCATTGCTTTCTTCTGGATTCTTGCAGAGCCCTTGTTTGGAGTCATCGAAGGAGTCAGCGCCGGCCTCTTCCTGATCGGCATGCTGGTAGCGCTCGTTGCCTTTTTCATCTGCCGGCAGAAAGTGAAGTAAGTGCAGTGGTACCTTCAGTGCCTGAGCCTGCGGCTGAAAACGCCCTTTAGCAGGGAAAGCAAGGGCCAGCCAAATAGCTCAGTGGATTAAAGCGCTTGCAAGCAGGGGCAGGGGCTGTGGGTTCGATCCCTGGGGCTGCCATCCTGTCCCTACCTCCAGGGCATGCTGAGACAGCAATTGAGACTGGGCATGGTGGTGCACACCTGTGGTCCCCACTCTTGGGAGGCTGTAAAATAGGTGGATCACTAAAAGTCTGATCTAGTAGTGAGACTCAGAACACCCTGTAGACCCTTCCCTAAAATTTAAAAAAAAATAAAAATTTAAAAAAAAACTAGCATGGAAAGCAAGAAGGGAAAATCATTTAACTTCTCCAAGTTCAACAACCATTGCTTTTGCAGGAAAACCAGAATCAAACTCTCAAACTATAACTTACTTGTTTGGAAGCTACTGTTGATGAATGACTGCAAATCTGTCAGTACCTTTATTTAAATATTTATTGAAATAGCTTTAAATATTAAATAACTTCTGCCTAAGAAAATAAAGTTTAATTCATATCTTCATGAAGATGGTGATATTTTAAATTCTGTACTCAGGTTCTTTTCTGATATATCCTGAAAAATACAGCTGATATCATTTTGTGGGTCCTATTTGCCATCCGAATTTAAGAAGGGACTCAGAAGAACCAAATAGCATGTGTCCCACTGCCACGTGCTCTTCTTTCGGTGAATTTTTTATTTAGCACATCACACCCGCTCTTGCTGTCATGTCTGGCATCTGAGATTTGCAGGTTTGGGTTTTTTGTTTTTTGTTTTTTGTTTTTTTTAAGGAAAATTTTGTTGAGAGAGCGTGGGGAGTGATTATGACCCACAGCCAAAACCAGAAGGCAGGCCCACGGTTCTTTCAGAGGTCTGTGTCTATGTTGGAAAGATCAACTTTGTATGTTATTCTTTCCCTTTTTTCCCCTCAAAGAAATATTGGCAGGGTGCAGATCTTCATGAATCCTGAAAAATCCAGATCTGCCCAAGCGGGCACAGCCTTGCTAGAAGTGGCAAGCTTTGTTCAAGTCAAATGTCGTAACTGGAACAAAAAGTCCTCTGAGCAGTCTAGGATGTAACTCAGTGGGGGAGCATCTGCCTGGCCCACGTGAGGCCCAGGGCTCACTGTCCAGTACCAAAACAGAACACTCAGTCCTGTGCCTTACGTTTCAGCCATGGCAGAGAAAGGCCCTCCGCACGCTTGAGCATTCGCAGGGACCGACCACTGTCTGTCCACCTGAACCTGGGTCAGAAAGGGTGAGTGCTTTGTTTTCTGCCATTTAATTTATGGAACAGTGGTATGATATGAGATTTGCTAACACAGTGTTTCCTTCTCTTTTCTTTCCTTTTTGGTTTTTTCACAGCAGCAGGAAAACTTCTTGGTAAGAGAGAACTCATTAATTACTATATTATCTTTTTTTGAAATATGCCTCAGACTAGTTATGGTGCTTTGCCTTTTCTTTAATAACTTTCTTTTCCTTTTCTTTTTAATTATAGCCCCATAAAAGTCAATCAGTTTGAAGGGCATTTCATGAAGCTTCAGGCTGACTCCAATTACCTGCTGTCCAAGGAATATGAGGTACAACTCAAACACAGTGAAGCATGAGCTCCGCTAGCACTCGGCAGCATTCATGGTGCTGTAGATCCACCCCTGGGCCCCCTCATCTGAAGTTAAATTGATGCTTAGGGTCTCAGCCAAATGCTCTTTGTACCTGAAACCATTCTCTGACAACACATCCAACCTACACCTAGTCCAATCTAATTTAATCTAATCTACACCTAATCTCAGGGCCAGTTTGAGCTCCCAAATAGTACAGCAAAATGCTTCCTGGATCAGATGGTAAGAATCTCAGGTATACACCTAATACTGTCGGTTATTCAGCCTAGACCTGTGCTTCACTGGGAAATAATAGAGTTTGGTTTAAAAAAAAAAAAAAGGCCCAGTCTTTGGATTTTATTCCTAGCTTTGCCACTCCTGTGACCTGGAGCACATCAGCTCTCCTGGCTGAGCCTCACCTGTAAGATGGTGACGTAAGCAGCACCCTGTGGGGGCTGTGAGTCGCAGCTAATGCATGTGGAGCGTGGGCGTTCATGCCATAAACTAATTGGCATGTGTAATTTGTACATGATTGTGTATTTCAAGGGCTGTATAATTTGCCATAAATTCGACTTTAAATTTTTCATTTGCAAACTTATTTTTGACATAACAGGACTTAAAAGACGTGGGTCGAAACCAGTCTTGTGATATTGCACTCCTGCCTGAGAACAGAGGAAAAAATCGATACAACAATATACTGCCATGTAAGTTTTGTGTCGCCTTTTGTAAAACACTGTCTGCCTCTAGCCATTTCTGCTCTGTCCCAGGAATAGAAGGGGGACACAGAAATATGGTGTCCTCAGACTCTGAATGAATTCAATCAAGGAATGACTTGTGTATTAGTGCACTGCTCTTCAGAAGCGTAGTGACCCGCTTAAATTCTGATCATGAGCACTTGTCTACAGTTTCTCATTAAAGGCTCAGAGCAACCGTTGGTTAACAGCAGGGCTTTGACTTCAGGCTGACCAGGGTTTACTTAATAAAATCTCTAGTTTAGTGACTTGTCCTACAGTCAAAGGGAAGCAGCTCCTGTCTTAGGCAAGTGTCCTGGTGGAACAATGGAAGGCACAGGTGGCGCTCATGTCTTGTGCAAACTGGAGAACTTAGTCACGCCATTTGTGCCTCCTCTGTACGGCGGAGATGAGGGCTCCTTACTTGGGGCTGCTGTTGGGGCCAGATATGGAGCACATCAAAAACTTCACTGTACATACGCATAAGAAAGTGACCCCAAGACTCAACAGGTCTCTCAATGGACTCTCTTCCAGATGACGCCTCTCGAGTGAAGCTGTCCAACGTAGACGACGACCCTTGCTCCGACTACATCAACGCCAGCTACATCCCAGTAAGCAAGCCTCTCCGCTCAGGATGACACTGAGGCGAGCGGTTGTTCTAGGGATGACCCACTTCTCCCTCATGATCTTTCTTTTCTCACCTCTGTAGACACTTGTAGATTTGTAGAAAACCATGTCTGATTGCCATGAAACAGGGGGGCATTCTCCTCGGTCACTTTAAGGTCCATATTTTATGATGACTGCAGTCACAATTGTCATGAGCCCAGGGTGCATCTTCAAGGGCAGTTTTCTCCGTGGTCCTTAGGCAAGATTAGAGCTCCCTCAGGAACATAGATCTCTCCTGCTAGGACTGTCTAGGTAAGGAAATCAATCTCTTGTTGGTTTTTGAAAACCACACATTCCTCAAACATTGTGTCAGATCTTTGGGCTCTGATTTCTATGGCATTTTACAATATCCTGTAGCACATTACAGTGGAAGACATTTTAAGGGTCAAACAAATAGTCTGAAATCCCATTTCTGTCCCTTGCTGGTTCTGTTGTCAGGCAGTTCCTTCAGCAATAGCTCACCAATTAAACTTATCCTGGGTTCTTCTTTCCTCAAAGAGTTGGACAAGTTGGGGCTGGAGAGATGGCTCAGTGGAATAGGTGTTTCCTTGGCAAGCGCAAGGGCCTGAATTCAATATATTAAAAAAAGAAAGAAAGAAAGAAAGAATTGGACAAGCCAATAACAGTATTAAAAGTTTATTTGAAAAGTGAGGAGTGAAGGGGTAAGGTAAAAACAAGCTCTGTGGAGTGAACTTGGGCCTAACAAAGAGAGGAAAGGATAAAAGCAAAAATAAAAGTGCACTCTGTGCCCTAAGGCAGAATGCCTGCTGAGAGGAGTCACCAGAGCACGTTGCTTGCAGCGTCCATTTGTCTCTTTTCTGTCCCGCGCACCTCCTGGGAGCCCGCGAGGAGCCTCACATCCGGGTGTCCCGGGACCTTATGATTGACAGCTCCTGCTTATTTCCCTAGCCTGCTGCAGCACACCCTCACTTCGGTGATCCTGGAAATTATTTTGCCGTTTGGACTCCCTGTTTTCTTTTTTATGAACTTAAAATAATAATCTTTACCTCAAAAAAAAAAAAATCAACTCACTCAATAAACACCTATTGTAAATGTAAAAAGTCAGATACTAAGCTGTATGCAGGCAGAAGATAAACAGCATCCTGACATAGAGGCATACTTGGAACGGTCAAGACCTCAGGAACTCACAAGGGGAGCCCTGAGAAACCCCCTGGTGTGTCTCTCCAACACTACAGCGTCATCGGGACTCTTGTTACAATGCAGATTCTGACGCCAGCAGGCTGCGGGAGACCTGGGACGCCACTTTCTAATAAGCTCCTCAGTGATTTCCCGAGAACCACACTCGGGGTAGCAAGAACCTTAAGGTTGCTAGAGAGTATGTAAGGGAAGATTACCACCCAGCACAGAGAAAAGTCAAGCGAGCTCAGCTGAATAGGCCATGTGCTCAGAATAAGGAAGAGCGGGCAGATGGGAGGCATTGTTCAGGTGGGCAGTGTTATGAGGGGCAGAGGTGGCCTCATGTAGGGCTCTAAGGAGAAACAAGGAGATAAAGGTCTTCAGCTGGGATTTACAAGTAGTTCTATGTTGCTGGGGTGCAAAATGAGTGAATAAAAAGGTCCTGGTTCATAGTACGGTGGATAGGATCAGTGGCAGCCTTGACCACCACAAATCATGTGAGGAAAGGGTAACAGGGTTTCACTTCCATTAAGCTTCCTTACAAAATTATGTCTTAGCAAATTATTCTAGTGTCGGTTATCCTCAAATTCCAAAACTTAGTCCCTCAGACAGACAGACAGACAGACAGACAGACAGACAGACAGACAGACGCACACACACACACACACACACACACACACACACACAACGAAGGGTGAAGTGTTTTCTAGATTATGACCAGAGTCCTCTATTTGCCTTTTAGAGCCCCAGGCTGAAAGGGAAACGTACCTCTTAACAATAGCTCAATGTTCTGGCCTTTGTCCTTCCTGCTCCCAAGCCTCCACACTTGTGGTAATTTCTTTTTCTCGAGCCAGGGGCCTGGCGGAGATCTCCATATCATCTAATCTGCAGAGCTAGCTCTTTGTTTACAATTTTGAAGAGGCCCATTGTTTCTGACTCTCCATGTTGTAAATTCATTGCAGGGCAACAACTTCAGAAGAGAATATATCGCCACTCAGGGGCCGCTTCCTGGCACTAAGGATGACTTCTGGAAAATGGCCTGGGAACAGAATGTCCTCAATATTGTCATGGTGACCCAGTGTGTCGAGAAGGGTCGAGTGAGTGAACAGTCTTCCTGTCCTCCGCACTTTGCTTCCCACTTCACAAATGCAGCTCCAGCCCACCCCGATCCGAAAGCGCACCCCACAAACCCAAGCAGAGACAGTGTGACAATGTGGATGCCACTCAGCTCTCAAAGGGCTGAATTGGGGTCTGAAGTTTCAGTCAAAACTGCTCTCATGTGATGACTGGGATTTTCCCAAGGTCCTAATCCACAGAAAGAGAATGTGCCCTCTCATCTACCCCTTCCTTCAGTGCATGGCTTGTGGCAGGAGGGGGAGACCCTGCCGGAGTCAAGGAGCCCAGCCTTGCTCTCCAAAAAGACGTGTTTTAGGCTATCTTGGAAGATTCGAGTAAAATAGTTATCTGGACAAATTAAGCAAGCTTTTTATAGTGTGTTTATAATCTACTGCTTCATACAGTTACTTTTAGGATTAAAAAAAAATTACATGTAATGAGCTAACAAAAATATATTAGGGAGGATCACTATAAGTCCAAGCTGTATAGTGAGACCCTGTACCAAATACATTATATATATATATATATATATATATATATCACCTATATGTCCTCTTCAACCAAACTAGCCTTATGTGTATACCTATATGTAAATAGATACAAAGCAACAAAACAATTAGAAGTGTGTGTGTAACCATGTATGTGTTTATGTACAACACATAGGAATTGCCTGGGTGTGGTGGCACACATGTACAATCCCAGCACTCTGGGAGGTGGAGGTAGAAAGGTTTCAAGAAAAGTTATAGTGAGCCAGGCACGGTGGTGCACACCTGTCATCCCAGCACTTGGGAGGCTGAGGCAGGAGGATTGTTGCGAGTGTAAGACCAGCCTGGGCTACAGAGTGAGCTCAAAGCAGCCTGAACTGCATAGTGAGACCCTGTCTCAAAAAGACAAAAGAAAAAAAAAAAGAGAGAAAGAAAAAGAAAGAGAGAAAGAAAGAAAGATTGTAGAAAGGTTTGAGTCCAGCCTGGACAGTTTAGCAATTCAGCAAGACTATGCCTCAAAACAAAAGAGTTGAGGATACAGCTCAGTGTGAAGACCCTGGGGTCAATCCCCAATACTGAAAAACAAAAACTTATATGTATATGTAGTTCGGAGCCCACTTTAGGTGCCTCACCCTAGTTAGTTGAATAAAACTCATGTATACACTATCTGATACATATGTGTACATATATAAATATAAGCAAATATATCCCAATCAGTGAATATCTATACCTTATAAAACACATCAATTCATAAAAAAGTATAAATACTACCAAAAAATACAAAAGAAATAAGCATTCACAATCCCTTTCCTCTTTCCCTTGTACATATAAATACAAGCTGAGCTATCCATTATAACTTCTCAAAGATTTCTTGGCACATGGCCCATGTTAGAAAAACAATAAAAATAGGAACAAAACAAGACCAGGAAGACAATGCCTTCCTCCTCTTGACTGGATCTTTCTTCAGAAAGAACAATAAATTATAATTCATGTTTTATCTGCTAGCAGATCAGCAATGCTGAGAAAGTCAATTAAAAAAAAAAATAAACCTCAGGGCCAGTGAGATAGCTTAGTGGACTAAGTGCCTGCTTAGGCAAGCTCAGGGACTGGGGTTTAATCCCCAGCACCACATACTGCACCAGCCCACCCTTGGGTGTGCTGAGCTGGCCACAGAGACAGGGCATGGTAGCACACGCCAGTAATCCCAGCACTGGGGAAGCTGAAAACAGGAGGATCAATATGAGTCCGAGAAGTGTAGTGAGACCCTGTACCAAATACATAATAATAACAGAATAAAAACCTCAAGCCAGATAACACTTCCTGACATGTAACTGAATGCACAGTTTGGGGCTTGAGGCTTGCTCTTTGTGGGGTAGCCCCACTGGAGCAGCAGCCCAACTTCAGGACTGGTCAGGAGCCAGCGAGTAAGAAGCTGATCCAGGATTTCTAACTCAGGAGGGGACACAAGTCCAAGCTCTCACAGTAATCATGTTTCTGGGTTGACTTTTTTTCCATCTGTCCTCTTGCAGGTGAAGTGCGACCATTACTGGCCAGCGGATCTGGACTCCCTCTACTATGGGGACCTCATCCTGCAGATGCTCTCGGAGTCGGTGCTGCCTGAGTGGACCATCAGGGAGTTCAAGATATGCAGCGTATGTCAGTTTGCTTGGCTTCGTTAATGACCCAATTTGGGAAGATGCGAATCCTGTTATTGCCAATTGCTCTCCTGTAGTTGCAGGCCACAGACGTTCCTGGGTAGCACTGCTGTCCAGTGCGGGCTCCCCTCTCCTCATCCTGCTCCCTTTCTTGCAGGAGGAGCAGCTCGATGTACAGAGGCTCATCCGCCACTTTCACTACACAGTGTGGCCAGACCACGGAGTCCCCGAGACCACGCAGTCCCTGATCCAGTTTGTGAGAACGGTCAGGGACTACATCAACAGGACCCCCGGGGCCGGGCCCACCGTGGTGCACTGCAGGTATGGATGTGAAGGCCGAGCCATCCATTACAGCCCTGCACCTTGGCATCTGGAAAAAGCATAAACGGGAGACAGTAGTGGGCTGAAGATTTGCCGAGCTTGTTGGCCGCCTAACTCCCAGGGGATTTCATTACACTATCCCTTCTCTGTTCTCCAACCTCACTCCGCTTCCTTAAACTTCTCTTCCACCTTTTCCTCTCCCGCCAGTCCCTCACCCTTACTCTCTGCCCTTCTGTCCCCCTTGTGTTCTTTTTCCTACTGCGAGGACTACAGTGACTCCCGTGCTCCTCATAGCTTGTCCCCACCTCCCTTTCCAACTGCATTGCCTTCAGCTCCCCTCCCGTTCTCAGCAGGAATGTGACTGCACCCAGCTCTGTCTTCTCTTTTGCCATTCTTGCCCCTTGGGGTGGCTTGTCTCCCTCCTTCACCTGGTTAAGCCCTATGTATCCTTCAAGAAAGGTTTTGTAGACTATCTGAGGTCTAGTCGCAGGTCTTTGCCCCTTACTGCTGCTGTAACAAAATGCTAAGGACCAATCTACAAGTAGAAATTTCTTTCTCAAGGTTAAGGAGCCTGGGAAGTCCAAGAGCAAGGCCTTGGGGAGGGCAGTCGTGGCTTCCAAGATGGCACCTGGCTTCTGCCTCCTCCAGAGGCAAGGAAGGCTATGTCTTTACACCGCTGAAGGAACAGAAGGGCAACAGGACATAGCCAGCTCCCTCCAGTCCTTTTATAAGGGCTTACACGTAATATAGAGGTCTCAGGACCTAATCACTTCCTAAAGATCTTATTCTTAACACTGTTGCACTAAGCATTAAATTTAAATCTGAATTACAGGACAAAGTTTCAAATCATAGCGTAGCATAGCTCTTGCCATTTGTAGCCCCCTCGTTTGCTCTTAAATTTCTGTTCTCGCTTCACTTCTTGCTTCCAAAAGTCTGTTCGTAGAATCAACCTAACGAGCCATCATTCTCTCTCTGGGGAGCCTGGTGCTTAGCTAATTAATGTTTGCAACAACACTCTGACAGTCCTAACTGAATGGCACTAATAAATAAAAAGCAGTGAATTGCTACAGTAGGAGAAATGTCAAGTGTGCTAATCGCCTTCCAATCAGCCCAGCACCCTGGGAGCCCTTCTTTTATGCCATTAGAATCCCAGTGCTCTTTTGGATTTTTGGGGGGAGGGGGAAGGGAATGGGTTGTTTTTTTTTTTTTTTTTTCTTTTTTTAAGACAGGTATCACTTTGTAGCCCAGGCTGGCCTCAAACTCACTGTGAGGCTAGACGTGGTGGCACACACCTATAATCCCAGCACTTGGGAGACTGAGGCAAGAGGATTGCTGTGAGTTCAAAGCTACCCTGAACTAAAAAGTAAGTTCAAAGCTATCCTGAACTGCATAGTGAAACTCTGTCTCAAAATGAAAAACCTCTTTATGTAGCCCAGGCTGGCCTGGAATTCACAGTGACCCTCCTGCCTCTGCCTCTCAGGTGCTGGGGTTACAGCCATGCACCAACACCTGTACTGCCTCTGCTTTTCATGGGAATGTGAGGCATTCCAGAGCTTCGCACTTTCTGAAGGAAGAATAGCAAGCATTTTTGCCCCAGGCCACTGGAGAACTTTTAGGAATGCATACACTAAATACCCCCTGGAGATTCTCCCATGAATAATCATATTTACTTGGAAATAGCAGAACATGGAAATGGGAATATAGGTACCATAGTAAAGGGTAGGTGCACTGAAAGAACTTGAAGTGAGGGCAAGATTTTAAGGCAAAAAGGAAGAAATTTACACATGCAGCAGATTGCTGGAAATTCGATTGCTGAGCAAGTATTCTGTCAAGAACATCTTATCCGAATTTCTGCAGTCTTTTAAAAATGTTGCTACAGAAATCTATACACATGTGCGGGGTGCAAATTATCAGCTGCAAGTAGCGCAGGAAGCTATTTTTGCAGGCCCTTGAGACAGCTTTCATCCCACGCAGACAGACATGAGTCCCTCCCCTTCATTACTTCCCCACTCTGATTTTGTCTGGGTCTGATGAGAGTGATTTCATGCTGGCATCAGCAATTCATGCAGCCCCCAAAACTCCCGGATGAGTCAGGTGGAGTGGCTCAGACCTGTACCCCAACACTCTAGGAATCTGAAGAAGGAAGATCTAAAATTCAAGTCCAGTGAGGGCAATTAGGATTTCAGGGAGACCCTGACTCAAAATAAAAACTAAAAGTGCTAGAGAGACAGCCCAGAGACCCTGGGTTCAATATCCAGGTACAAGAAAAGAAGGAGAGAGAGAGAGAGAGAGAGAGAGAGAGAGAGAGAGAGAGAGGAGTCCCAGATTATAATACCAGAAATAGGCAGTTTCTAGCAAAATTGAAACTAGAAGTTGCTGTTCCACTTCTAGCCCACAGCACATCGCCACACATGTTCACCGTGGTGTTCATGTGACAAATTTTAATAAAGAAAAACAAAAATGGCCTCTTTGCCTGCATTGCCAATGGGATAGCAGTGTTTTATGGACTCCATAGAATGGTTAAAAGAAATTAGATCTATAAGAAAATATAGGGATAAATCTCAAAACACAACATTAAATCAAAACTTGGTTAAAGAATACATTAGATGAGTTAGTCTTTTGATACATTTTGGAAACACATAAAATAAATATATTGCTGATGGACCTATTTGTTTGTAGAGAAAACATAAAAATCCGTATGGAACTGATACTCAGCAAGGGCAGAGCAGAATCTACCCCTGATATTGGGAGAGGGAGGAAAAGAGGGGAAAGAGGTAGAATACTAGGACTGTAGTGAACGAAGCTGTCCTTCATTCTTCCCCAAATTGAAAGAGAAAAAGAAAGATATACCAGAGTCTCTGGATGCATCTCAAAAGGCAAATTTAATAAAATGTTTCTTTACTGTCTCTTCTAGTGCTGGTGTGGGTAGAACTGGAACCTTTATTGCACTGGACCGAATCCTCCAGCAACTAGACTCCAAGGACTCTGTGGACATCTATGGAGCTGTGCATGACCTGAGACTTCACAGGGTGCACATGGTCCAGACTGAGGTAAGAGCTACTGGCTGAGGGACACAGACCACCTTGCTCCTCTCCCTATAAAGATATATATTAATCTATTACATATTAATATTAAATATATAATATCTATCTATCCATCTATCTATATCTCTCCAGGGCTTCCATCAAACATGGACAAATAACTATGGCATATTAGGAAAAGAAAGAGAAGTACGCATGTAAACCTTTCTAGGACTTATTATGACATAGATATCAATGTCTTTCAGGATGATCCATACCCTTATTTTTACTTAACTAGTTGCTCCCCTTAGAAAATAATTAATTTAGGTGGGTAAGTAGAAAAGTGCATGTTTTGAAACAAAGGAGGGCCAGCAAGATAGCTCAGTGGACTGAGTGCCTGCTTTGGCAGGTGCAGAGAACAGGGTCCAATCCCCAGTCCCGCGTGCCACACCGGCCCTGCCTCCAGGGTGCACTGAGCCAGTGCAGGAGTTCAGCGGTGGTGGTGCACACCTGTAATCCCAGTGCTAGGGAGGCTGAAAACAGGAGGATCACTGTGAGTCTGAGCTGTGTAGTGAGACCTTGTAGCAAATACATAAATGAAAAATAAATAAAAGAAAAGAAACAAAGTAGTATACATGGGGTGGGGAGGGATAGGCTGGTGGACAAATGAACACAGAACTTTATTAAAAAGAAGACCCTAAGTTCTACTCTGCCCCTGCCTCCACCCCTCTATCTGTGCCTTTGTCTCCGAGGACATGAAGAGCCTATTCCATGGTAGAGGTTTAATGTTTTCATTTGTTTCCACAGCTCTTTGACATTCACAGGATTTTTGGCTTTTGTTTGTTATGTGGTATTGGGGATTGAACTCAGAGCCTTTGCATTGAGCTACATCCCTAGCCTATCATTTATTTTCTGTTTTGAGACAGGATCCTGCTAATACTGAATTGTCAAGTCTGGACTCAAACTTTCCATCCTCTTGCATCAGCCTCCCAGTGTGCTGGGATTACTGGCATATTCCACCATGTCTTGCTCACTGAACATTTTAAAACAGGTCATCCTATTAAATTTTCATAATGACCAAGTAAGTGAGGCACTATATTCTACCTCCAGGCTAAAAAATTGAAGTCGGGGCCAAAGGGCTTTGCAGAAAGCCCATAGTTATGAAGAGGTCTAGCACTTGGACTCTTCTATAAAATCCCTGGCCCATGAGCACCAAGCTTTCTTCAATTTTAGAAAACAGAACTCAGTATATGGGACATCTAGCAGGTTGGCATTTTTAGTTCCTTTCTATTATTTGGATTATTTGGAGGTTCCATAGCAAAATAAATGTTGCAGTAAAGTAGGAAATCATCTCTTTCCCTTTTTTCTTACAAAAATCTCAGTCAATATCAGATCTGACATTGCTCTAAGACAATAGAAGTTGGACATTTCTGTAGTCCTAGTCTCTGGCCTCACTCCTTGGAAATGATGGGAGGGGCTGCTATTATACCCATAGAGGAGTATAATCAACAAGCCCCTGGGGGTAAATCCTCTAACTGAAGAGAAACAACTTTCTCACCACCTGTATTGATTTTCTGGGTCCATGGTGACAGCTGGCCTCAACAGCTACTTTCATTTATTATTATTATTATTTTTTTCTGTATTTTAGGGAAGGGTCTACAGGGTGTTCAGGGTCTCACTGCTAGATCAGACTCATAGTGATCTGCCTGTTTACAGCCTCCCAAGTGCTGGGATTACAGGTGTGCACCACCACGCCCAATCTCAATTGCCATCTCAGCATGTCCCAGGGGTGGGGCCAGCACAGCAGGTGACCTTATCTTAACTAGATGTGTCCACAGTAATCTATCCCTATCAATTTCTTGGTTGATTTTTTTTTTTTAATGTAATTAGTACATGGTCTACGTAAATTTAGTAGTGAGACCCTGAACTCCCTGTAGATTTTGGATGAATATAACAAAGAGAAAGGATTTCTAAACAAAGAACGGGGGGGGGGGGGCTGAGTAGATGGCTCAGTAGAAATAACCGCTTGCCTGGCAAGCTCAAGGGCCTGAGTTCAATCCCCAGTTCTGTCAAAAATAAATAAATAAATAACATTACAGTTTGGGGCCGGGGAGATGGCTCAGTGGAATAAGCGCTTTCCTGGCAAGCAGAAGGACCTGAGTTCAATCCCCAGTTCCGCAAAAAATAAATAAATAAATAACTGTACACAAGGAATATATGGATATGTTCCTCCCTTTACCTTGCCTTGGGGCAAAGTTGCAACCTGACCCTGAGAGAAAGAGCAATGACTTTTTTAAGAACAGTAAGTCTGAGTCTGTCACACCCGGCTGCTCCCCAGGGAAGGAAACACTGAGGGGTCATAAGACTGACTGTCCCGTCCCATTTGGAAAATGCTGCTGGCATTTTCTCATGACTCATGCAATCCGCGTGTAGATACCTTGTTGCTTTTCTCCAGAATATATGTGCTTGTTTATGTTGTTTCTATCACAGTCTATCACACTGTTTAAAATGTCATCTTTTTTCTCTGTCTTGATACTTTACTTCTCAGAAAGTACCTATGTGCTTCCTTTTCTTTTTTCTTTTCCTTTCTTTTCTTATCCTTTCCTTTCCTTTCTTCTTTTTTTGTCTTTTTGAGACAAGGTCTTACTATGTAATTCAGGCTGGTGTTGGGCTCACCTTGTAGCCCAGGCTGGCCTTGAACTCTCAGTGATCCTGCCTCAGCCACCCGAGTGCTGGGATTACAGGCATGCACTACCACATGACCAACAGTGATGCATAATTCTGTTTGACGTGGATCATGTTCTGGGTATTTATTCACATGTCTTCTCTCAGGGACCATGAAAGGTGATACATCTAAAACTATAAATACTATTTAATACCACAAATACTGGTGAAATTAAATGAAACTGAATGTGTCACCACATAGCCAAAGATTTGCCCATTAACAAAAAATGATGCTCCATGATTTGAGGTTCATCTATGAGAATTTTTTTCAAATTTTTATTATGGCCAAAATGAGATGTACATGCATGATTTTCCAAGGGATATTTCATTGGGAAAAGAAGAATTAATATTAATACTAATATTAACACTGCAAGGCAAAAGAGTAGATATTAACTAGCTTCAAACCCCCAGTGGATCGTTGTTGAAGAGTTTATTAACAAGCCATAGAACAGATATAATAGAGTTCACTCACAGCTTACCTCTAAGGTTCCAAACTGATTTAATATCCCAGTAGAATTAAAAACAGAAATTATGCTCAAATTTGCGTCTGAGAAAATAACGAGGAGTAGCCTACAATTTGGTGGGTCATTTTAAAATTGCAGAGAGAGGTACTCTAGAATAACATTTTCAAAATAGCCCTTTCCTTGAATATTCAAGGTTAAGACAGCAATAAAACACTCCTAACAAATAAATGAGTTGATGAGTAGAAAAGCAAAGAACAGTGAGCCTCAGGGTTTAAACATTTCCTAATCTATCTATTATCCTGGACCTACCTTCTACAGTCTCCTGGGTAGATAGATGCTCAGACTGGCTTCCCATCAGGAACAGTGCACAGGGCTCAACTCAGACAAATAAGCCCTTGTCCACTTGGAAAGACTTACAGAGGGACAGTCTTTTGGTCCCATTTTTCCCCAAGCCTTCAAAATACTTTGAGGTTGGCTACAAGGATTATCTTAAACAGAAGGCCCAGAAATGTTTTTCAGTATCCATCTAACTGACATCACTGCTAAGTCTTGCATCCTTTAATGGGCAAAGGATGTTATCTGTAAAGAGACCTTAAGTTCCTTCTTTTATAGATGGGAAAACTCAGATCCCAAGAGACCTCGCTGTCTCCAGGCCTGTCAGAGGCTGGGCATCCCGACTCCCTCTCCTGGCTTCCCCTCCCAACCTCTTTGCTCCCTGGCCTCTGAGCAATGGCTGAGTCAGTGAGGGGAGCCCAAGGCCAAGTGCCAAGATTGCAGACCTCTATTTCCATCCCAGAGAACTCACTTGGTAGTGATAAGAGGAAAGAGTCTCCCAAGCTGCTAGATGTCTGGTATGAGTTCCTGGTCTCTAAAATATAAGAATGAGGGCTGGTGAGATGGCTCAGTGGTCTAAAGCACCTACTTAGAATAAGCTTAGCAAAGCATAAGGACCGCGGTTCAATCCCCGAGCACCACATGCCAGCCAGCCCTGCCCCCTGGTGGTCTGAGCTGGCCACACACACACACACACACACACACACACACACACACAAATAAAAATTTAAAAAAATAAAATATAAGAATGAATTTTAGGAACAATGGAGGTTAAGAACAGAATTTATTTATTGGGGGAAAGAAAGCTTTTGTCCGAGAGAGGGACAGAGGGTCCTAAATGGGTTGCCAAGGACCCTGCCTTGTCTAGGGATTTTTATAGAGCAGATCTACTATGTGAGGCAGGTCCAAGGTAGGAAATACGGGAATGCACAAGGTGGGCATGAAGTGGGATGAAGCTGTGGTCAACCAATGAGATTAGAAGCATAATTGCTCAGGTAAAATTGATTAAATCAAGATCAAATGGGGAAGCATAGCGGGCATGAGTACAGAGCAGAGGCTCTTCCTATAGGGCACTGAGTTAGTGACTCTTCCTCACTCTCTCAAGGTGATAGAGACCTACGTAGAATACCAATCCCTGGCATCTATCCTTGGCGATGCATGGGGTGCATCTGTTCCATCTTTTGTCTTGAGGTCTGACCCACAGCTGGAGATGCCCATGTCCCCCACAGCTACAAGGCAGGGTCTCCTGCATGGGCTCCTTCCAAGGCCCACCGCTGCCTGACTGCCTACAGTATTTCTGTCTAATTCAGTTGCCTACAACAGCAGGAAAGAAGGGGACCCAGTGCACAAGTTTGGCTGCCGTGCCTCATCAGTGAAAAGTCTCTGTAGGAGCTGTAGGGTCCTGAAAGTACTGACTTTTCTATCTGCTTGTTCCTAAAATTGTTAATACCCCAATCGTTGACAATATCCTCACTATGTAACCCACTGCGCTTCTGGGCAGCCAGGGAACATCTCTGGGATTCTTCTGTGGGTCAGACTTGTGTTCTTAGAGAACAGAGATGGGCTAGCCGCTCTGTCTTACAGTCAAAGAAATAACAGTGCGGTTTGTTATACAGACCCCATTTTTTCACCGATTCACCCCAAAAGGGAACAAAACAAAGAGAAGAGCATGAAGTGATTTCCTCATAAGAAAATGGGTGTATTGGAAACACAAACTTGGAGGCCACACCTTGTGGATCAAATCCTGTGGGTCCCTTTCTTAGCTCAGTGACTTTGCAAAAGTTACTGAACTTCTTAATCTCAGTTTACATTGATAATTATAACTACCTCAAAATGTTGTTGAAGTCATGAAATGGTTTCGTGCAGATACGTAGCACAATATGGGTATCCATTCATCTCTAGTGTGTGCCGGACACACTGGCAGGTGCTCAGTATGGAGAGCTCATCTGGGGATGAACAACCACAGAAACAATTCTTCTCTCTTCAGGGGTAATGAAAAGAACTCACTTCTTATGTACCAGAGAGAATTAGTGAAATGGCTGTCAGGAATTGCAATCCCTGTTTCTGTCTTGTGACAGTTCCTCATCTCCGCTGTGTTTTCTACTTGCCCACAGTGTCAGTACATCTATCTACATCAGTGTGTAAGAGATGTCCTCAGAGCCAGGAAGCTCCGGAGTGAACAAGAAAACCCCCTGTTTCCCATCTATGAAAATGTGAATCCAGAGTATCACAGAGGTAGGATTTCACTTCACTTACTGTGCACTTTTCAAAATATGATCAGCCTGAAAAATATTAATAACCTAACACTCTCTTAATATGTACATTTATCTTTTCTTCTATCCAGAGGGTCCTGAAAAAGAACAGAATAGGAAGTAGGGGGAGTTTCCCACAGTTGGGCAGCAGTTCCTTGTGGTAGTTTCACCTAGTGAGCCTCAAATGCCCTCTAGCAAGGACTGCTTAATGTTTCTTTTCCAAGCTTTACTGAAACCACAACTTGACAGTTCAAATTGTAAAACTGGAGTCAGATAACATAGCGGATTAAAGCACCTACTTAGGCAGATGCAGAGGCTGGGTGTTTGATCCCTGCCTTGCCTTGCCAGCCCCTCCCCTGGGGTGTGCTGAGATGGCAATTGAAACTGGGCCTGGTGGTGCATGCCTGTAATCCCAATGCTTGGGATGCTGAAAACAGGAGGATCACTATGCTTCTGATCTGTGTAGTGAGACCCTGTAGACCCTGTCCTAAATACACTTACAAAAATTATAAAATTGTTTTGGAGAATTCAGCAAACTATGAGAGATCTTAATATGTTATCTTGTGACCTAGTATTTCATTTGTCACCCTAAGTACAGAAAAACATTTATGCATAAGACTTCTCACAGCTAAAAGTTAAAAAAAAAAGCAGTTAAAAGTTTGATGAAAACCTGTTCTGTAGAGGACTGTATTGGTTATCTCTGCACTACCAGAATAATACTAGAGGCAGATAAATTTATAAAGAGAAAAGGATTTTTAGCTCACATCTTGGAAGGCCCAAGGGCATGGAGTTTGTATTGGCCAGTTCTGATGAGATTCTCACGGTAGACACGTCATTTACTGTGTGAGCACATGTCAGACCAAGTGGTCACATCTGGAGCCAAGAGGAGGGAGAGCTTCCTGGGGCCTCTTACCTATTTAAAACAATGTGCTTGTGAGCTCTCCCATGGCATTTCATGAGATGTACCTGCTGAGACCTCAGTGACATAAGGGCTCCCCCAAAGGCCCCGCCTCCAAAAGTTCTGTGGTAGTGCCACCTAACACTGCCACCTGCAGACTAAGCCTTCCATCAGCATTGATCCTGGACAGACACAAGCCTTATTCACTGTCATACAATATGATGTAGTCATTTAGAATGAAATAGATACATAGATATATAGATGAAATAGATTTGGATATGGATGTGGATATATGGACATGAATATGGAGATTAGATAGATAGATAGATAGATAGATAGATAGATAGATAGATAGAATAAGTTTTGGGGGGTTGTGTGTGGGTTTTTTAAAATTTGTTTACTTTGACAAATGTGTTGCCTCAGCTGGCCTCATACTCACTGGCCTCAAACTCTTGAGTTCAAGGATATTCCTCCTTTAGTCTCCTGTGTGGCTGGGGTTATAGCCACATATGCCACACTTGGCTCAGTGATATTTTTGAGGATATTATAATAATACAATACAACAATGCATGTGATACCATATGTATTGTTGTATGTTACCCTGTTTCTGTCTTTGTTTCTGTTAATTTGTTTTTACTCTTCAAAATAAAATATTTTTTAAAACCTTAGTTGAATTCCTCTATTGTTTAGTGAAATTCTGTATCTTTTCTAACTTTTTTTTACTATTTTTTATTATCTTTAAAAATAAAAAAATAAAGGGTCTGGCGCAGAGGATTAAAGAACCTGCAAGCAGGAGCAGGGGCCAGGGCTTCAATCCCCAGAACTGCCATGCTGGCCGTGCCTCCAGGGCATGCTACAATGGCAATTGAGACTGGGCATGGTGGCGCACACCTGTAATCCTAGCTCTTGGGAGGCTGTAAACAGGCAGATCACTACAAGTC